TATCCACCCGCAATAAGAAATCATCTTTTCGGACGAGGCTGTGGAGGATCGTCCCCCGGAAAGGCGGCAAAATCAAGTTCGCCCATCCGTGAAACCTCCGCCCTTCCTGTATGTAGGTGTCCAACAGAAACTCCGACCTGCAGCACTCGGGGTTCCCGCCCCCCCTTATGTCCCCACCAATCCCACCCACCAACGCCCTCCAACTACTTCTCCCCTCTCTTCGCCTCATGATGAGCTATTGTTGCAACTGCCTCAGTCCCCGCAATAAGATTCTAGAATTACGGCAGCTAGCACTAGACAATAACCTAGACGTTTTACTGCTGACAGAAAATTGGCTCATGGCGGACTTCGCCGATGGCGAAGTAACCATACCAGTCTACTTCCTAATTAGAAAAGAATTCACCTGAGGAGGAGCAGGTGGGGTCATAATTTAGTTTGAGCACAATCTCTCCCCTCCAATCTTCATATACACTGATTCTATCCCCCTCATAGATAGTTTGTGGATTTGTTTTCAGATCTCCAATACGATCAACTTCCTGATATGCCTAGTCTACCGCCAGCCACAATTCAGTCTACTAGAAAATCAGCTCCTGATAGACCTATTTAGGTCTGTCACGGAAAGTTGCCAAAATTCTCACCTTCTCGTGATAGGTGATTTCAATTGTCCTGGCATCGACTGGCAAAAGATGTTCTGGACAGACGTCTTCTTTCTTCGCCTTCTTACTGACCTTCCAGTCGAGAAGTCCTGGACGAAGCAAGTGTCTTTTCCAACCAGGTTCCAACGAGGACACACTCCATCTTTACTAGACCTAGTCATCACCAATGAAAGACAACAGATTGATGTCATAAACCAGCTTTCCCCTCGTGGAGAAAAGTGATTATGTTTTGCTGACTTTTGACCACATAGTAACTTGGAATCTGTTCAACGATAACACTCGATACGTTTGTCCCTTCGAAGGAACAAACTTCGAGACTCTAAACCGGTTTCTGCAACTACACACTTGTCCTTCTTCTGAAATGTCTGTTGACGCCCTCGCCAGGCACATAGAGCAGGCCATCTGTCTCGCAGACTCGCAATTCATTCCCCGAATTTGAATTGCGTTTAATGCCAAGCCCCGTCTGCCTCGCACAATTCGCCGGCTGTTAGGTACAAGGGCCCAGCATTTTGTGAGATACATGAATACTCAACTCGCGGCCGACGGAGATGCTTTTAAACAAGTGAGAAACCTTTGCCGACTCAAAATTCGAGGGCATCAGAGGTACACCCAGAGAGCTATCCTTACCAACGCTAGAAACAATAAGCTTTTCTTTTTTTAAATATATCCGTAGCCTGCGTCGGCTCTCGCTCTGCCCCATAGCTCTCACTGACCCAAAACGGAGAAAGTGTCTCTTCCCCAAAAGAGGTGGCGTATACCTTCAGATCACACCTCTAGAAAGCATTAAACTCCTCTCCGGTACTCAATCACCCCATTCTGCAGCCGCTAGATACAAATTCCTCCCTAGTATCCATCCTTTTCACACACGATAAGGTGGAAAGGAGACTCCAGAGCATTAATCCGTACTGCTCCACGGCTTAGCCTCTAATCTGTTGACTAGCACCTAACCTTACCCGCGCGGTTCGAAATTTGGAGTGCAGCGACCTCCTTCTGCAATGGACTTAAAATAGACGAAGGGATAGCGCGGATTCGGCATAAAATTGAACCTAAATAGATGAAAACGCAAGTGTATGAAGATATTTCCTCCCGAGCTTCACGCTCGAGTGCCTAGTTACCTCAGCATACTGTATAGCAATGTCTGCAGCATCGGCAACAAGATAAAAAATGGGGGTAGAAGCCGCCGGATTGAATTGGATTGCCCTAATGAAGTCATTGTTGAAGGATTGTTCAAACGATAAACACCTTGGCCCGGTAGGTTTTACCACCTACAGAGCTGACAGAGGAGGGTACGAAATGGTGGGGAGTCATGTTCCTCGTGGCCTCACATCTGGCGCAACTACAAGGAGAAGCATTCTCCTTCGATTGTAGCCAGGCCTTCTCAGCGCACATTACTACTGAAGGAGATAAGCTCACGATAGTTCAGTTCAGTTTAGTTCAGTTCTCACAGGAGGAGTTGTGGTTCTTGCCAATGGAGCGTTCAAATTCGTGTGTTGCCGGCGAGTTTCCTTGGCTTCCAACACTTCGATATGCAATTTTGCTGGAAGGCAGAATAGTGTGGTGCAGTATCAAATCCACTGCGGTTAGGTTATAGGTGTTACTAAACTCTTACCCCAGGGAAAACGCTATCTAAAACTCATGAAGTACCTTTTTAAACGCATCTATTTTACTGCAGCCTACCACTGCCAGCAGCAACCGGTTATACAACGGGATTACCCCGTTAGTGGAAAACGTTGCTCTCAGTTGCAGCCCAGAGTGGCTTTGCTGCAAATATGAGTTACATCCCCGCGTACCTCTATGCCGGACCCAGGAGAACAGGTCGTCAAACCTAAGACCTCATATACCCTTGAAGATTATAAATGTCTCGATGAGGTCTCCTATCATCGGCCTCCGTTTGAGGGAGAACAGATTTAAATCTCGGATCCGCTGTTCATAACTTTTCTCCTGTTGCTCAGCTATCATCCTCGTGGCTAGACGTTGAACCCTCTCTAAGGTATCGACGTCCATTCGAAAGAACGGAGCCCAAGCCTGCGCACAATATTCCAGGTGCGGGCGGACGATGCTTTTGTATAGGAGGAAAAGACTTCAGGTTTTCCGCCCGTCGAGGTTGCGCATTGACGAAACAGATGTCCTCTGACTTTATTTGCCGCCTTCACACATTAGGTGCTGGGTTTGGAATCCCGTGTTATCACAATGCCTAGATCATTTGCCTCGCGAACCCTTTGTATCGACAGACATCTTGCCGTCTGTTCGTCAGTTCTGGTTGTCAGTATATGAGATTTCGAAACGTTTAGTGGCAGGTCCCATTTTTCGACCCATATTTTTAGTACCTCAATGTCCCTTGCTAGATCCCATCCAGCTATCTTGACGTCATCTGCAAACAGGAAGCATGGATTTTGGAGATCCCGTGCTAGGTCATTATTGTAGAGCAGGAACAGCAGTGGTCTAAGTACGGATCCTAGGGTACACCGCTTGTAACCACCTCCTCATCGGATGTGTGAGCTAATACTTGACATTAAACGTCCGCAACGCAAGAAAGCCCATCATCAAGCTCCTAATCTGCCCATCTTTTCCAAATAATTGCACCTTATGATTTAACAGATGGTGGCCGACCGAGTCGAATGCTTTCTGGAAGTCCAGATGGCATACCTCCACCGGTAGGCCCTCATCTATCCTCCGTGTGACCTCGTCTAGAAAAACCAGCAGGTTTGTCAGACAAGACCGCTTTTCAACAAATCCGTCCTGGACTGGTATCAATAGCCCTCTATTGACCATGTAGTGGTAAACTGACCTTCTAACTAGGCGCTCCAAACACTTACAGATTACTGACATCGAATGTACTGGTCTGTAATTCTCGGCCTTATGCCGGGATCCAGACTTGTGGATTGCCACTACTGGGGCTTTGCGCCAGTCGTTCGGGACAGATCCCAGTCCAAGCGACCCTTTGAGTAACTCGGAGATCGGTCCCACTATGACATCAGCCAGCGGTTGTACAATCGCTGGGTGACTCCGTCAGGCCCCGCAGCCTTGACCCTATTGAGCTCGATCAACTCCCACTGCACATCCTGAATTTCCACAGTGATTGGATGAATGGCGCCGCTGCCTTCGATTGATGGAAGGTTATCTGCCACACTGAGGATCCTGTACGTGCTTTTGAAGAACTGTAACAGGATACGTGCTCAATCGCTCTCACTCACTGCTAACGTTTCGGTCGACGATTCTAGAGTATCAACCGTTTCCCGAGTGTTGCGCTTAGATTGGACATATGCGTAAAAACGCTTAGGATTTCGCTTGACGCTTTACGTCCAGTTTCTCTCAAATTGGTATTTAACATCCCTTTACACCTTCTGCAAATAGTTGCGCGCGTGTTTGTAACCATTCCACGACTGATGAATGCCACACCGTTTATAGACTGCCCACCGTCTTCTACGAATGGTTATCGCCCTATCTGTATTTGCATTCCACCAAGGAGGACGTTGCTTCTTTCTTAACGGGATCAAGGCGCAAACCTGTCCGTGAGTAAAAGAAGTCCTGCCTTGATATGGCTCCATCTGGTTTCCAGAGATGCATCGGCTAGATTAGGTACCCAGTTTATATCCCGCGCCGCTCTGGCCAGTTCGTCCCGCTTGATTTTTCCATATCGTCTCCCTAGTTTGGCCGCTGGTTTGGTGTGTTTGCTTTCCAGCGTTATTCGAAGGACTACATGAGCACTTTTCCCCAGGGGCTCCCCCTGGGTTATTGTCCTTACGTCCATAGGGGTTCTCGTGATCACTGGATCCAGTATGGACGGCCTGTCATTTGCTCTAAAACGGCTGACTTGTCATATGTGTTGTGATAATGCGTGCTTATGGAGCCACTCTAGAAGCAGTCCTCCTCCAGTTCCGGCCGGTGCACTGTCTCTATTCTAGTTGACCTCAGCATGCTGAAGCCCCCTACTAAATACATTCTTCCGGATGTGACCAGGAATAATTGCAGCTGAGCAATCCATTCCTGAACTTCTGTTGCATTTGCCTGCGGAGCTCGGTGGACGCACATGACGGCTAATGCGTTTCCGTCCATTTTACCTACCCAACTGATGGCTTGTATGTTGGAAGTCGCTTGGGCCGCTGCTGCCTCCCATTGCGTGTGATCTAACTTTATCAGAACCCTTTCCCCTTACCTGCCATCCGTTCTATCCTGTCTATAGATTGTGTAGTCATCCATCCCCGGGATGGTGTGGTGCTTCCGCATGCATGATTCAGTTATGACCACGATGTCTATACCTGGGATCCGTCGGCGCACCTCTCCTCACTTTTCCCGTATGCTGCAAACATTGGTGTAACCTAGTGTGACTGTGTCTACTTGAGCATGCCTGCTGGATCGGGAACTCATTTCCGGAGGATCCTCGAGCGTAATGCCCGAGGCGCTACCCCGTTTTTTGAGGGGTTTACGGCTGTGGTCGTGGCTTCTTCCACCTCCCAAGCCATTCCACCTTTCTCCTTGGATATGGCATTTATCGTCATTCCAAAAGCCTCTACCCATATAGCTACATTCGCCTTTGGAGTACTTAATCTCCGTCTTAATCGGAGAGACGGGGACTTTGCAGCTACTGGGGATGTCACCCATATAACTGGTTCGTCACAGCCCACCGTGGCTTCCTTCTCTGCACTGCCAGCTGCAAGTAAGTTTCTTAGTTGC